CGCTGCGCACCGTACAGTACTGTACTGTATTTTCTCTCCCACATTCATTATGTTTTTGTGTATTATTGTATATTTTGACCTGCATTGACCTTGTGCTTGAGTTACAATTTTAGAAATTAATTCTTGATTTGATGTTTCAATTTTCGTTGTTTATATTTAATTATGTTTTCTGCTTCATTTTATTCTTTCCACTGTGTTTATACTGTTAATGATTGTACAGCACCTTGTGAATATATTTCTGTGAAAGGCGCTTCATAAACAAAACTTTACTTACTTACATAATCTTATCACAGTTGTAGCCTAGGCATCAGYRGTGGGATGTAACAAAGTACAAGTACTTTGTYGCTGTACTTAAGTACATTTTTCATGTATCTGTACTTTACTTTATATATCTGTAGATTTCACCATGGTACTTTTGACTTTTACTCCAATATATTTTACATAAAGTATCTGACGGGTTGCTTCGTGCCAAAAAAGCGAAAACTTTTTTTTTTCGTTTTACTTCTGGGACGATAACGGCAACATTTTTCCGGAGATGTGCCGTCGGTGATTTCTCCAGCTGTGGAGGAAGACGACGAGGGTCTAGATGAAAACGAGGAAGACGAGCAAATTTGCAGAGAACTTGAGAAAAAAAAGAGGCAAAATTTTAAAACGTGACGGAAACAGAAACTAAGATAGAAACAGAGGTGACACGTTATGGTGGTCAAACACAAGTCACTAAGACCCCAGGACAATAAAAGATAAGAATAACATATAACAAAAATAAAAAACAGTTTTCGGTACAAACCAGTATACCGCCCAGTACTAACTCAAGTATCTAGTTATCTAAAAAACAGGAAACAGTTTGTACAAATAAATAATATAAGATCTGAACTCTGTAGTATCGAATGCGGAGTTCCACAGGGTTCTATACTTGGACCACAGTTATTTCTTTTATATGTCAGTGATTTGGTAAATGCATCAAGGCTTTTTAAATGCATTTTATTTGCAGATGATATGTTTTTTTTTGTTTGGATTAAGACATGGAACATCTATTGGAAATGATTTACTTGAACATTGTTATTGTTTGAAAT